TATTGCGAGTCCCGATGACGATAGTCAGTTTGTTCTTCAGACTTTCCTTTTTCAACTCGTACTCCGTGACAACAAGAACCACGTACACCGTTTATGTACTCGTGTCGTGATCAAAGCAAACACATGGCCCACGGCACAACAGCACTGGAGGGTGTAATCCCTTACAGTTTCCTAGTATTGGCACCGTCTCTTCGGAGCTGGACTTTTTGGTGCATGTACAAGAAGCCTTCAATGTAGGTAGTTGTAAGAAGTAGTTGTAGTGTGCCACCTGCACTCAGCATCTCAAGTGCACTAAGTATTTCAGTACTTACTAGTACATGTACTGGTGTATATAAGAATGTATGGAACACACTCATATCGGTAATTGGATGGGAATCGTGAGGGTATGAAACTGCTTTATCACTGTATCAGCCTACCCGTATTATCTCTAATATAAGCACAGTCTCCAATAATAGCACGTCTCCAATAATAGAACACCTTGGGGAGGCACTCAAAAATTAAAGTGCTCAGTCTCCATTATAAGCACACTGTGTAAATTCATTATCTGTAGCGGCGAAAAAACCCTGAAATGTGTGTGTATCTGACATGAATTTGGCATGGCAACATGCCTCTGAAATGAGGTTGAAATAATAATGGAACAGTCTCCAATAAAGGAACGTCTCCATTAGTAGCACGGGGCTGAGGTACATTGAAAAAATAAAGGACCGTGCTTATATTTGGCTCGCCAGTCCTCATCATGGGAGATTTCAATGCTAAATGTTCCACCTGGTATGGAACAACAACAGACGCTGCAGACCACCACCTTTCATGTCTTCTTGACATGTTTTCCTTGCAGCAACACGTCACATTATCGACCCACCGCTCCCAGAAAGGCAATGAGGCTGCTCTGGACCTGATGATCACTGACACTGCAGCCAGCATCTGCGATCCGCGCCCCTCAGCCCCTCTCGGTTAGTCGGACCACTCAATTGTTCTCGGCCGTTTGTGCATCCCGACATGTACCGCATCACCACCTGCACCCAACACTACACTGCCCTCCCATTCCTTCCAGATACCTGACTTCAGTCAGTTTGACATCTCCTCAATTCTTCCCACTCACCTAGTTGCTCTAAATGAATCCATTGCTAATGTGAACTGGCATGCTGCTCTCCAGTTGAAGCTTGGAGATCCAAACGTACTGCTCCAGCATTTTATGACATCCTTCATGGCCTATGCTCCGCTTTCCTACCCACCCGGTCGCGCTCTTCAGCCCCTAGACGACGTACACCAAGTCCCCCGTGGCTGACACGTGCTGTTAAAGCTCAGCTGAAGAGGAAGCGAGACTCGTACAGCTTGTATCGCAAGTATCCTACCCCTAGCAATCACGAGCATGACAAGTGCGAACGTAACAGAGCACGAATCCTATCTAGAGAGGCTCACCGCCAGTATGTGTCCTCCATTAGCACTAACCCCTCATCCATTGTTGCATCCACCCCTAGTTTGTTCAAGTTTGTTAAGCAGCTTCGTTCGCCGACCGCTGTTGGAAACCCTATCATCACTGAACTCCATGAAAATAACACTGTACACAACGACCCTACCCAGATTGCCAATGCTCTGAATCGCCAATTCATCAGCTTTGGAACACCGGATGATCCTGCATGGTCTCTTCCTGGTATTCCATACCACGGGCTCCCAGCACTACCCTCTTTTAGCACTACTCCCACCGCCATTGCTCAACACATCCGTCGCCTAAAGCCCAAGAAGGCGGCAGGTGCAGATGGCATATCCCATGAACTCCTAAAAGCCCTGTCTCCTAGTATAGCTATCCCTCTCAGCCTAGTTTTCAACCAGTCCTTCGTCACCGGAATCTTCCCTGATATCTGGAAGGCAGCTGTGGTTGTGCCTATTTACAAGAATAAAGGCAGTAAACTGTCTGCATCCAATTACCGGCCGATTTCACTCCTTTCCACCATTTCAAAGCTCTGTGAACGTGTGGCATTTGGCCACTTATACCAACATGTGAACCCGGTCCTTGACCCGTCACAGTCTGGATTTCGGCGAGGCGATTCGACCGCCTGGCAGTTGCTGAGGCTTGTGCAGAAGCTATAGACCTTATTCGATCACGTGATTTTTCGGGGCGCCTTCGAGGATGCGCACGCGGCACTCGGACGCGTGATCCGGACGAGTGGCAAAAAGGCCTCAGCTGAGCATCACGGAAATTTGTTTTGAATGTATTTTCAATATCGGAGTTCGTCTCCTTCCTTTTCTCGAAGTACTTTCATGCAGGTTTGTCAGGTGTTAGGAGCAGTAAGCAGTCTTCTTGTAGTTTTGAGTGTTCTAGCAGTGATGGCGGTTCAAGACTTGTCCGAAATCTATCGCGATTTGGATAAAGCGGGCAAGACGCGGTATGCCGAGAAGCTGGCGTTTGTCAGGTGTTAGGAGCAGTAAGCAGTCTTCTTGTAGTTTTGAGTGTTCTAGCAGTGATGGCGGTTCAAGAGTTGTCCGAAATCTATCGCGATTTGGATAGAGCGGGCAAGACGCGGTATGCCGAGAAGCTGGCGTTCATCGGCTCGGACCAGGACCCCTACGTGACGAGCAGATCTCTCACGCCTGGTGCCACACCTGATTTCCCCAGCGTGGAGTATCCTGATTTGTACCACTATCTCGTGAACGCGCCGAGTCCCTGCACGAAAGAGGAGATGAAGGCGTACAAAAGCTTGGAGGGGTACCAGTTTTTCGTTGCTGGTTGGGTTGGCAATGTCGTCACCTTTCCTGCAACTGCGGATGGCAAGAGAGCATTTGTGATGGCGAAGGTCCGTCACTCCCAGTCCGTGTCCTCTGCTGAGCTGCAGCCTTGGGTGGCAGCTGACATGGATGGGAGTGTGCTTTGTGCCCACTGTACGTGTATGGCTGGCCTGGGTGAGGCATGCTCCCACATTGCCGCCTTGCTATTTACTCTGGTGGCCAGGACGGATTTCGTGAAAGAAAATTCCGCCTGCACCTCCACGCAATGTCAGTGGATTGCCCCATCCCTGCAGCCTGTGCAGTATGCCAGGATATGCGAGATGGATTTCGCCGCGCCGAGCAGCAAGCGCACTAAGCCAGCAGCAGCCAGTGTGGAGGTCACCACACAACTGCCGACATACACTGTGCCAACCACCAGTGAAGTCAACGAGTTCTTTTCTGGTCTTGCCTCCACGCAGAGCAAGCCAGGGATACTATCAATTGTTCCTGGTTTCTGCGAGAGGTATGTCCCAACCCGCCCAGCTGGGTTCCCAGCTTATATCACCGACCTCTATGATGAGGCAATGCTAGACGCATCACTCGATGTGTTGCTGAACCGGTGTGATGATGTTTTGAAAGGCATGGGAGTGACAGCAGCAGAATCGGCTGCTGTTGAAAAGGCAACCCGCGATCAGAGCAAGAGCAAGCTGTGGTTCAGGTTCCGCGCAGGGCGTGTGACAGCTTCAAAGTTCCGTGATGCTGCTCACACACCCCCTGCGAACCCATCATCATCTCTAATTCGTGCAATTTGCTACCCCGATGCATATCAGTTTTCCTCTGCAGCGACCACTTGGGGTTTGGAGCATGAGCAGACTGCCCGAGACTGCTACGTCAAACTGTTTGAGCCTAACCACTGCGACTTCAAAGTTACTGATTCAGGATTCGTCATCTCCACCACTCATCCGTATCTCGGTGCCAGTCCTGATGGAAACATCAATTGTACTTGCTGCGGATATGGCGTCCTTGAGGTGAAATGCCCTTTCAAAGCCGTGAACAAGTCCTTCCATGATCTGGCAAAGGACACCAACTTCTGTTTGAAGGAGGTCGATGGAAAATTCCATTTGCGCCTTGGTCACAAGTATGCATACCAAGTGCAAGCACAGATGTTTGTATGCAAGGCAGCATATTCGGATTTTGTGGTGTGGAGCGTGCGGGAATGTGTAGTCATCCGCGTTCATCCAGATCCAGATTTCCACAAGACAGTCCAAGCCATCACGTCTTTCTACAAGGCTGGCGTGCTGCCAGAGATTGTCGGCAAGTATTTTACAAAATCCTTCAAATCTACTGCCGCCAATTCTGATGGAGCTGTATGCACTTGCAACGAGGATAAGGACGGCGACGTGGTGGAATGCTCACATCCAGACTGCAGAGTTAAGACGTTTCACTTGGTATGTCTTCGCATGAAGCAGAAACCAAAACGCAAGTGGATATGTGCAGCATGCAAGAAGAAGGAATAACTGTGTGTACGGGTGTGTGTGTGTGTGTGTGTGTGTGTGTGTGTGTGTGTGTGTGTGTGCAACGCCATGCTAGATTCTGTTGACTCTCGCTCTTTCTTTCCTCTCTTCTCTCTTTTAGTTGTTGTCTCCCGCTTATGATAGCGGCATGGCCCGATAGGGCAGCTGTACATAGTAGTAGTAGTAGTGTATGTGTGTGTGTGTGTGTGTGTGTGTGTGTGTGTGTGTGTGTGTGTGTGCATACATGCATGTATCCTGATGCAATTATGTAACTAGGAGCTATGCCCAACCCACCAAAACTCTCACTTCTCACACAAATGATTGCACCATACATGTACATAGAAATCAACAGCCATGCTCATGCATGGCTGCAGGATCATACATTCCACCATGTCAGAAATTTGAACTTGAGTCAATATGACCACTGGGGCTTGTTATTATTATGTGCAGGCAAGCGAAAAAGATGAAATCATATGATGATTTCAAGTTGTGCTTTTTGAAACATGACGTGTGTGTGTGTATGTGTGTGTGTGTGTGTGTGTGTGTGTGTGTGTGTGTGTGTGTGTGTGTGTGTGTGTGTGTAATGGAGTGTGATTGATTGAGATTTACACATTGGTGCTAACTAGACACAGGGACAAAAGCCGTTCTTCGAGGGAGTGGTAAAATACAAGTAACATAATTTGCATTGCACTCCTGTCCAGGTAATCTATGCAGCAACAACATGCCACACGTTCCACAATACGGGACAAAAAAAGTAAAAAACAAGTCAATACTTCAGTACTTCTACTGGAAAGGCACCACTGAGTCGCAGCAGTTGCACAGCGCAGAGCACACCAGGACAATCTTGTCGATGGTGCACACTCCTGTTGAGGCATCACTCATCAGCATGTTCACTGGCAGGGTTGACTGCAGAATAGTGTACTTCTGCCGCAAGTTGCCGATAACACGTTCCACATGGATTCGTAGCCGAGACAGCTTCCTGGCCTTCTCAATGCTGATTCTCGACAGTTGCTTCTTGCCTCTTGTGAACGGAGGTATGACCAGCTCAGCGCAGTGCAGGCCAACGGCATCACTGACCGTGAATCCCCGGTCTGCCATTAGCTGATCACCCGGCAATAGCTTGTCCAACAGCCCGCAATGCTCCGTGATGTACTTATCCGATGTCCGGCCACCCCATCCTTTGGAGATGAAGGAAATAGTGCCTTGCGGGGTGATACCAATAAGAAATTTAACCGTGTTGTGGTGTTTGTAATTAGAGAAGGTTTGAGCCCTGGCCATCAGATCATGTGGCCTTTCGCAAAACACTTCAAAACAATCAATAATGCAAATGCACTTCCCAAAATGTCCGCGAAACTCCAATGGCATCGTGCGGTACAGTTCGGAGCGCTCTGGCCAGATGATCAACGGCTGCAGCCTGCCATAAAGGACGTGGATCCATTTATGGAAGTACTTTGAGACGGTAGACTGGCTGATGCCGAAGCGATGTGCTAGATCTTGATCGTGCAAGTTGAGGCGCAGCTTCATCAGGACAATAATAAACTGCGCAAAGGACGGAAGTGCCGCTCGGTGGTGGTCGGGGATGTCCTTGCCAGCAAATGCGAACACTTTCTCCAGCACAGCAAAAGATGGGAGGCCAGTTTCATATCTCACCATGTCATCATTGGACTTGAATCCTGATATGATGGAAGACATTGCCGCCTCTGATTTTTGATGTTTCACAGTGGCTTCCAGGTGCTGTACTTTGACGGTGAGAGCAGAAATAGCAGATTTCTGTTCCTGCAACTGACCATTCAGCTGGCATTTGTCCTCTTCCAGCTGTGCCACTCTCGCCTGAAGCAAGGCTAGATCGTCATTTTCTTGTTCAGCACTATTGTCGACATGGCTGCTGGCTTCAGTGAGCTCTGGCTGAGCTGGGGACGCTGGCTCAACAGAGTCTGACGAACATGAATCTCTCGGCGCACTCTCCTCTTCGATTTCCTTGTCAGCATTACAGTCACTTTCTCCAGTCAGCACGGGCTCATGATAGCCATGGCAGGTATCTTCAGGCTGAGCTGTTGGCTTTGAAGCTGCATGCCGTCGACGTCAGGCCTTGTGGCGATCAAATTTTACGTAAGCTTTCTCACCATTTACTCGACCCTCGTCTGAAAAAACAGACGGGACGAAATCAGGGGATAGTGGATCGTCGCTCTTCTTGAACCTTACAAAGTGATCGCAGCACACCCAACTGGAAGCGTTGGGCTGCCAGTTCTTGCGCTTCAGCGCAGCAATCCACTTTGCTCTCCTGAGCTGATTAGTTGGGAACTTATAAAAGCTCTTTCCACCGCCTTTCGCGAAACGGTTAGCGCAACCAACTGCACAGCAACTCTTCACCATACTACTACACTCCCTACCCACGTCTCCCTGACCAACGACAGTGACAGCTACCCAGAACAATTCCAAAGCTCTCCTCCAAACACACTTGCCCACAACTATCAACACGCACTTTCAAAACAAAACACTTCTTGCCACTCGTCCAGTTTTTCGTAGGTTCGTGACTGGGGTCCACGTGACCCGTGACGTGTATCGAATAAGGTCTATATGAATGCAAGGATCAGAAGCACTTTAGCCTCCTATGTTTTTTCGACCTGAGCAAAGCATTTGACACTGTCTGGACAAGGGGTCTCCTCCATAAGTTAGCAGCGTTTGGCGTAGCCGGGACGTGTCTGCAGTGGCTCACCAGCTATCTCACTGAACGTCGACAGAGTGTCCGAATTGGACATGCCCTGTCCGCCCCTCTAACAGTCCACTCTGGGGTGCCCCAGGGCTCTATCTTGGGGCCTCTATTGTTCATCGTAGACGTTAATGATTTGGCAGGTTTGGATCATACCTCACTCTACGCGGACGATACAGCGCTCCATATAACCGACCCAGGCTTATTACAAGCCTGCGACTCGCTACAGTATCACATTAATCAAGTTGTGCGCTGGATGTCGAAGTGGAAACTCCGCCCCAATGTGTCGAAAACGGCAATCCTTTGTATCCCCTCACGACCCTCCAGTGATCTCACCCTCTTTACGACTCGGTTTTTTACTTTCCCTGATGATCCCATTGCTATCAACATTGTTAAAAATCACAAACACCTTGGTATATTTCTTGATGAACACTTGTCCTGGGATTCGTACGTAACCTATATTGAAAAGCGAGTTTGCTCCGCGATAGGCTGCATTTCTCCTCACATCTCCCATCTACACCATGGTTGTCGAATACAAATTTATCACTCTTATGTTCTTCCTTTGTTTGATTACTGCTCTCTCGTTTGGTCCTCCGGTCTATCCTCCGCTCTTATGCATCGGTTAGAAGTCACCCACCGTAAATTACTTCGATTAATATTTCGCATACCCCCTCTGACCTCCTCTCAGACGCTATACATTTTGGCTTCCTCTTCCCCTCTCTCAGAACGCTTTCCCCACTCGGCATGCAAATTCATTCACCGTATTAAGCTTCAACTTGCTCCTCCTCATGCATGAGGAGTACTGTAGGAGTTTAGATTTCGGCTTGTACAATTCGTTCTCGCAAAGCTTCCCCCTTCTTAACTTATCTTTGATATTTTTGACCCACCCAAGTTGGGTGGTGTGCTGCTTTGCTGCTTCGAATTGTAGTTAGACCGCTTTGTCAAATCGCCTACTGGTCTCGTCATCGTCCAGTGACAATCGACATTCTTTGTTCCGTTGGGACTGTAGCTTGTGCTCGTTTTCGTTGCGCTTGCCTTCCCCTCTTTGGTCTTTCCATAACCTTGAACCTTCCAAGTTGGAAGGCTGTCGGTTAGCGCTACGGAGATGTGTTGAAGCTAGGTGTCAGGACGTCGAATGTCTCAGTACTCTGTCAGTTTTGTGCCTAGTTGTTGCACTTTCTGACTGTATATAGTATCTAGTTACAGTGGTGGAGAGTTACTCTTAACTCGTTTCCATATTTCCTTTTCCTTTCTACTTTTATTATTGGCTCAATACCCGAGTTTCAAATTGCACACCTGATGAGCCGTCACGAACCATACGGCGAAACGTACGTCGTGTGAAACAACTCGTTTTGTAGTCAACTAGTCCATCACAATGTCATGCATGAGGAGTACTGTAGGAGTTTAGATTTCGGCTTGTACAATTCGTTCTCGCAAAGCTTCCCCCTTCTTAACTTATCTTTGATATTTTTGACCCACCCAAGTTGGGTGGTGTGCTGCTTTGCTGCTTCGAATTGTAGTTAGACCGCTTTGTCAAATCGCCTACTGGTCTCGTCATCGTCCAGTGACAATCGACATTCTTTGTTCCGTTGGGACTGTAGCTTGTGCTCGTTTTCGTTGCGCTTGCCTTCCCCTCTTTGGTCTTTCCATAACCTTGAACCTTCCAAGTTGGAAGGCTGTCGGTTAGCGCTACGGAGATGTGTTGAAGCTAGGTGTCAGGACGTCGAATGTCTCAGTACTCTGTCAGTTTTGTGCCTAGTTGTTGCACTTTCTGACTGTATATAGTATCTAGTTACAGTGGTGGAGAGTTACTCTTAACTCGTTTCCATATGTCCTTTTCCTTTCTACTTTAAAAATAATAATATTAGAGATAATACGGTATGTGAACAATCCTACACCAGGAATCACACGCTACCGTCCAAATGTGTGCGGGTATGATGGCATGAAACATGTTGCTACAATTGCTGGACATTCTCCACTTCTCATCTTCTGAGCAGGCATTACTAGTTCAGGCACGACTAGTAACATTGTTGTAGATTCTGCACATCACCTCGCCAGGCTCACATCCCATGCACTGTTCGCCACGCTAAAGCTACCTGTACCCCAACAAGATCCGGTTCTGCAGAACAACTAGAGCTTGGTCATAATCATCATTTTTTTTACCGTCGTCCATGCAAGGAGTTGAGGTAATAGACGAGGCGATTGCGACCACGCTGCACGATATCGTGAACTAATCGCTGCCACAACACTTCTAGAGCATGCAGTTCGGGATTGACGTCGGTCAGCTAAGAGGCACTTCTACGGAGGGTAGTGTGTTTGCGTCACACTGTACTCCGTAGCCAAGTCAGCCGGAACAGTTCCAAATACTAGGATGAAGTGTGAACTAAGTTACTTGTTGGCCCCTGCCAATGCAGAGCCGTTAGAAAGAAGCCTTCGTTCGATTTTCTTCATTGTCGGGTGCATGACGATCGTCCTACGACTCGTAAAATAAAATTCGTTGGAAATTATCCAGACCAGGGTGGTCTCCATTCGTGTATGTTTGTGCATCGCAACTACTTCAGGTACTAGCAGTTACACGTCTCCCGAATCGTAGACCCCGTTCTACAGCATTCGCTGAGCGATAATTACTAATATGGGGCTAGTGTGATTGCAATCCCTCTCCGGCTCCCGGTGAAGTTGTATCTTGAAGATTCGGGTTTCGCCATTGCGCAGCCCGTGGCGATGAAGAGATATTCGAAATGTTTGCTTTTCAGTGTGCTTATCACGGCCTCGGTGCTGGGAATCGTCACAGTGGAGGTGTTGCTGTTTGCTGACCTGGGTAACTCATCAATGATTTGCGGCAATGGATGTGTGGGAAGGCATATCCGAACCTTGATGAAAGGAGCCACAAAGATTGCAGCGCAAGCTGCTGCATCAGCTGGAATCGACGTCAAATTCCCTGTCAAAGCTGGAAGAGTTCTTGTAGCACCCGGTCTTGATGTTCACCCAGCTACCTCTGCGTCTGCAGTAGCGCCGTCTGCCCCGATAACGACTGTAACTATCAGAGTTGCAACTGCACCACCAAGTACACGTACAACGTCTAGAAAGGCAACAACGACCGCAGCTCCCAAAACAGTTCCTCCAAGACTTTGTGCTGACGATTCGTGTGCTCAGAATAGCTGCTGCTGCGCTGTACAGAAAGTTCCCGACGTGCAACTCACGCCTGACCTGAACACAGTACCCGACGAAAATGCACTGATAACTCGTCTCAAGGTGACGGGCATCAAGGAAGGCGGCTGGTGGCAGCCGCATGGCTGTACTGTGGAGCATTCGCTGGCCATTGTCATCCCATTTCGTAACCGCGAAGCGCACTTGCTGATCTTTCTCCAGCACATTCACCCGTACCTGCAGAGACAGAAGTTGGCGCACACAATCTACGTTGTTGATCAAGTTGACAAGCTGCCGTTCAACCGGGCAATGTTATTCAACGTCGGGTATCGCGAAGCTATGGCCGAGCGCAATTACACATGTTTATCATTTCACGACGTTGACAACATACCTGTGGATCCGATGCTGAGCTATCGTTGTGGACCACAGCCACAGCACATGGCAGCGAGGACAGACAAATGGAAATGGGGCTTGCCGTATGCTGCATTTACTGGTGGCGTTAGCAAACAGTCACCCGGCCAGGTAGAGAAGATGAACGGATTTGCAAATCGCTTTTGGGGCTGGGGCGGCGAAGACGATGACATCCTGCAACGTTGGAAAGTAGCCGGATACAACTTTACCCGTCCGCCCTCTCCCGACGGTCGCTTTGCTACAGTAAAGCGCGACCACTTCCAGTCGTCTGAACCTAATCCGCAAAGTTTCAAGTTGCTGCAAACCAGTGGGGCAAGAATGCGTTCGGACGGCTTGAATAATCTGAAGTATAAATTAGTGGGAAAGAAAAAGCATGCTCTCTACACTCGCCTGCGTGTTGAGCTGAGGAGGTAGGCGAATGTAGTGGATGCACTATGGGTGCGCACATACATGCACATGCGTCCTTTACGTATCCAAATGTATTTGCTTGCATTATGTGTGTGTGTGTGTGTGTGTGTTTGTGTGTGTGTGTGTGTGTGTGTGTGTGTGTGTGTGTGTGTGTGTGTGTGTGTGCGTGTGTGTGTGTGTATGTGTGTGTGTGGGCTATCATCGCTTCCGCGATGAGCAGGTCTGAGGTCTGAGGTCTGTGTGTGTGTGTGTGTGTGTGTGTGTGTGTGTGTGTGTGTGTGTGTGTGTGTGTGTGTGTGTGTGTGTGTGTGTGTGTGTGTGTGTGTGTGTGTGTGTGTGTGTGTGTGTGTGTGTGTGTGTGTGTGTGTGTGTGTGTGTGTGTGTGTGTGTGTGTGTGTGTGTGTGTGTGTGTGTGTGAGTCTTCTGTGTATAACCACTTTGGTATCTCGTCCTGAATGTTGCCAAGTGTATTCTGATTCACGTTTCTCTGTTTTGTGTCGTGGACGTCATGGTTATCAGTTGCAGGTGAAAGTGTTGGAGGCTGTGTTCCAACGCATTCATAAGCCTGACCTTTGTGTTCAAAAGGAGAGTGTTATTTTTTTGAAATTGTTCAACCGGTAGAATGTTGTGTTCGTCTGGCCGCCGTGTTGGGCCAGAATTTTGTCACTGGTGTTGTTTCATACCTGTTGAATTTTGTCCCCTTGAAGTGTTCGATTGTTACCGTTCACGCACATGGTATCGTTCAAGAATACCTTGTGATACTTTTTTGGCATTGTTGTCTAGGTGTTATAATATCCCTATTGATCCTTTATAGTATTCTGTGTTGCAATTTTGTTAATAATAGTGCAACGATGCTTCCTGATGAGCGTTGTGCGAAAGCTACCGTATTTTCCGGAGTATAGTGCGCACCTTTGTATAACGCGCACCCCCACTCTTCATTGGGGGTGCGCACTTCCATCTTCATTAAAGTACATGCATTTCATATTCGGAGCATAGTGCGCACCTGCGAGTTAGGGCCTAAAATAGCACATCTAAAGTGCGTACTATACTCCGGAAAATACGGTAGTTTGATGCATGTTCATATAATTATTATTTTCATCGTTCCTATTATTGTTTTTCACATTACAGTTCCATCACAGTTATTTCGCTGTCCTTTACGAGTTTACATTTCAATAAAACCGTCGTAACATGTCGCGTCAGCTAATTCTGTTCATTGCCATCTTAAAATTGTTGTCACCTCGCCGCCTGTTCACATGCACATGAGACGAAGGAAACAAGGCGTTTATGCTGTAACTCGGTGTTTCTCGCTTTCAGCAATCATAGTGACTACAATGTTTTGAAGATGTCATTGACCAGCCACCTTCCTTGGTGCCGGTCGCATTGAGACGGGTTATCAGTGCATTTTGTTTGGTTGAGTTGGGTAACTCCGCTCTTCTTCCTCGCTCACTGGAGGAATTTATCAAGTCTCCTCGCGCAACTGGGGAGCACTCCAATGGAGAGAGAAAGATTTTCATAGAGCGGCTTGCTGTGAGAGGTGGACTGAGACTTGACGGCACTAACGGCGAATATCAAGATCATACGGCCACGGAGCTGCGGGACTCTGCGCTGGTCGTCTATCCGTGTGGAGGCAAAGCAAACGCGGGCAACATTCTGCTGAAGCGAGCGTGGAGCTGAAGCTGGATTGGTGACTGACGTACCTGCTTACTCCACAACACCGGCGCATAATGATGTACATGTACAAGACTTCGTGAGTATTCAACTCAAATTCGTGTTCGTCAGCGTCAGTGTCAGTAAGTACATGTAGTACAATTTGTTCCCAAAATGACTTCGGGACAGTCTGGTCATGGTTTTCATTTGTATTGGACTCGTTCTCTACACTTGCGATAATTTAATGGCAATTCTAATGTTGTAGCGTTGTTCTCTTGTAATATAGTGGAACCTGTATTGAGTAACTAAGTTTTATGTTTCGTTACATTGTTGACAGATCTCCTGTGTACCGGTTTTGTGGCACAATGATTATAGCCATTTGTCGTCTCCATTCTTGTACAATCATGCATATGTAGGTTGGTTCTCTTCATGTCCATGTTATTGTGACCTATTTCATAGATATTGGTTGCCTTGTTGTTTTCTCTCCCCTCTCCTCTCACCCAAGCCATTCTGCATAAGCGAAGCTGTGGACGCAGCATACTGCTGCTACACTTCAACGCGGGAATGCGTGTAATAATACTAATATCAGTGCATTTTCGTCAGGTACTGTGGTCAGGTCCGGCGTGAGTTGCGTGTTGGGCACTTTCTGTACAGCGCACCAGCAGGTATTCTGATTCTGAGAACAAGAACTGTCAACGCAAAGACTAGTCCTATAGGAATGCGTATAAGAGCCGAGTTCGCTATGGCCGTTGTGGTCGTTGGAAGTGTACTTGGTTGTGAAGTCGGCAAACTGGCACTTGGAGTCGTGTTCGGAGCAGACGCCGCTGTAGTGGCGAAAGAGTTTGCAGTGAAGCTACCAAGCTACCTGAGATTCTCCAGCTGCTGCTGCTGCTTGCGATTCAATCGTCGTGGCTCCTTCCATCCAGGTTCAGATATGCCTTTCCACGCATCCCCTGCCACAAATCACTAATGATTTACCCACGGTATCAGAGAGCAGCACCTCCACTGTCACGATCACCAGCATGCATCATGGCTGTCAAGTAACATACTGAAAAGACTTTTCAAGTTCACCTTCATTATTATTCTTTTATTCCACGATGGCGTGACGCCAATAAGGACGATTGATAAGTGTGATAGAACTGATACTAGCCAGAAACAGCTAGATGGAAATTAACCGGGGAGGCAAGAAGCAATGGATCATGAAAAACATTATTCATTGCAACCTACAGGACAATGGCGAAACTAGGAACATTGAAGCAACAGCTAGGTCGAAAGCCGGAGAGGGTTTGCATTGCCACTGTTACGTTGGTAGTATTGTTCGGCAAACGCTGAAAAACAGGGATCTGCAATTCTTGTGACGTGTTGTCTGCAGTAGTTGCCACGTACGTGTTTTCAATGAAAAGCAGGGTAGAAATCGTGGCAATACAGTCACGGTATTGTATGCTCGAACTCGTCTTCTTCAAAGTTCTTTCTCACACTGACACAGCACATATAGCAGAAGATGCGAGTGAATCAGCCTTCATCAGGTATCCCGTAGCGGACGAGATAGTGGCGGGTAGTCCGCAAAACTCCTTGTACATGTACATGTACATTACATTTGTACATTTAATATGCATGTTACGAAGTCCGATGATGACCTCTGGTAGTCCGGATTTTAGCAGCCATGATATGATTGCAGGCTATGGATATTGCTCGAAATTGATGTATAGTTGATGTTCGGTCATGATGGAAGGAGAAGTGGAGCTACGGGAGAGATGAGCTGATTATTCGCAGGGTGAGGGTGACATCGGTTTTACGAGTATGATGATTATGAAGACCGTGAGTTGAACATGATAATTTTCATAGGTAACTCAAACTAATTTGGCAATGGTTGTTGATAAATATGGTGGTAAAGACACACCTGGCAATATGGCGGTAAACACACGCCTGCCCACACACGCTCTCTAGGCGGCAAAGTTCTGGCACAGAGCTCTCCTTCTGACCACCACCACCATCAGTTCGCGCCTGGCGCCTGGTCGATGCATGGCTGGCGGTATCCGGCATAGCAGGCTGGTACATCAAGTAGCGCATGGCACATAGATGATGACACAGCAACGACATAGCTCGATTGCGACGTACGTTTCGTCCCCGCTGGACTCATCAGGCAATCTTCTTCTTGGATGTCTTCATACGGAGCTTGACTCGGGAGAATGAAATTGAAGACACCACTGCAGCTGTACTTATTGTTGATAAATATGGTGGTAAAGACACACCTGGCAATATGGCGGTAAACACACGCCTGCCCACACACGCTCTCTAGGCTGCAAAGTTCTGGCACAGAGCTCTCCTTCTGACCACCACCACCATCAGTTCGCGCCTGGCGCCTGGTCGATGCATGGCTGGCGGTATCCGGCATAGCAGGCTGGTACATCAAGTAGCGCATGGCACATAGATGATGACACAGCAACGACATAGCTCGATTGCGACGTACGTTTCGTCCCCGCTGGACTCATCAGGCAATCTTCTTCTTGGATGTCTTCATACGGAGCTTGACGACCAGGCGCCAGGCGCGAACTGATGGTGGTGGTGGTGAGAAGGAGAGCTCTGTACCAGAACTTTGCAGCCTAGAGAGCGTGTGTGGGCAGGCGTGTGTTTACCGCCATATTGCCAGGTGTGTCTTTACCACCATATTTATCAACAATAAGTACAGCTGCAGTGGTGTCTTCAATTTCATTCTCCCGAGTCAAGCTCCGTATGAAGACATCCAAGAAGAAGATTGCCTGATGAGTCCAGCGGGGACGAAACGTACGTCGCAATCGAGCTATGTCGTTGCTGTGTCATCATCTATGTGCCATGCGCTACTTGATGCACCAGCCTGCTATGCCGGATACCGCCAGCCATGCATCGACCAGGCGCCAGGCGCGAACTGATGGTGGTGGTGGTGAGAAGGAGAGCTCTGTACCAGAACTTTGCAGCCTAGAGAGCGTGTGTGGGCAGGCGTGTGTTTACCGCCATATTGCCAGGTGTGTCTTTACCACCATATTTATCAACAATAAGTACAGCTGCAGTGGTGTCTTCAATTTCATTCTCCCGAGTCAAGCTCCGTATGAAGACATCCAAGAAGAAGATTGCCTGATGAGTCCAGCGGGGACGAAACGTACGTCGCAATCGAGCTATGTCGTTGCTGTGTCATCATCTATGTGCCATGCGCTACTTGATGTACCAGCCTGCTATGCCGGATACCGCCAGCCATGCATCGACCAGGCGCCAGGCGCGAACTGATGGTGGTGGTGGTGAGAAGGAGAGCTCTGTGCCAGAACTTTGCAGCCTAGAGAGCGTGTGTGGGCAGGCGTGTGTTTACCGCCATATTGCCAGGTGTGTCTTTACCACCATATTTATCAACAATAAGTACAGCTGCAGTGGTGTCTTCAATTTCATTCTAATTTGGCAATGAAATAATATTTTTACTGAAGTACAAAAGAAATCAAGTGATGAATAGAAGAAGTAATGTTTTCTCATTTCCATGTTGATCTCTAATTAGCTAACATGCATGGACACCGTGCAGCTTGGTATGGGGATACTCATGTACTTTGTTGTACTTATGGCCACTTGCAACTTGCAAGCATTAAAAAGGCACAATTTTCCGAACTTTGAGGCTGCATAATTTTATATAAGTACAACAAAGTGAATATATATCCCCGGGTGCCAAAGCATAATATGACGATTTTACGAGCATAATGCGAGAATCCATGAAAGCATAATTCCATAATTTCGCGAGGATAATCCACCGGAGCCTAACTCGTGATCAAAGCAAACACATGGCCCACGGCACAACAGCACTGGAGGGTGTAATCCCTTACAGTTTCCTAGTATTGGCACCTACTCTTCGGAGCTGGACTTTTTGGTGCATGTAGCCTTCAATGTAGGTACGTAGTTGTAAGAAGTAGTTGTAGTGTGCCACCTGCACTCAGCATCTCAAGTGGACTAAGTATTTCAGTACTTACTAGTACAATGTACTGGTGTATATAAGAATGTATGGAACACATATCGGTAATTGGATGGGAATCGTGAGGGCATGAAACTGCTCTATCACTGTATCAGCCGATGTGAACAATCCTACACCAGGAATCACACGCTACAGTCCAAATGCGTGGGGGTTTGATGGCATGAAACATGTTGTAACAGTTGCTGGACATTCTCCACTTCTCATCTTCTGAGCAGGCATTACTAGTTCAGGCACGACTAGTAACATTGTTGTAGATTCTGCACATCACCTCGCCAGGCTCACATCCCATGCACTGTTCGCCACGCTAAAGCTACCTGTACCCCAACAAGATCCGGTTCTGCAGAACAACTAGAGCTTGGTCATAATCATCATATTTTTACCGTCGTCCATGCAAGGAGTTGAGGTAGTAGACGAGGCGATTGCGATCACGCCGCACGATATCGTGAACTAATCGCTGCCACAACACTTCTAGAGCATGCAGTTCGGGATTGACGTCGGTCAGCTAAGAGGCGCTTCTACGGATGGTGGTGTGTTTGCGTCACACCGTACTCCGTAGCCAAGTCAGCCGGAACAGTTCCAAATACTCGTAGACTGTCGTGCAAATGCTTACACCACAACTGCGCGTGTAGTTTTTAGGAGGTGCTGTGCATTGTGGGTATTTGCTGGAAAACGTTCAGCAAGCTGAACTCAACACAGCAGCTGCTACCGGTGATACTAGTCACGGGGGGGATATTGTGGAAACTGAACTCCCCTCCAGTGAGTTCTGGCCACGCTGATCTCCGTCAGTGTGCCGTAAGCCAGTCAAGTGGCGTTAGTTACTCCAGAACAGACAGGGAGACAGCGGAGGGAACTCAAGCTGTTTCCCGGCGGAGCATGAGTAGCAATTGCCAGGGGAGTGCCAAATATCAAGCTACTAACTATGGAGTCGAAGGGGAAGCTTGATGACGACGCGACGGCCTTGCTGAAAAGTCCGGGAACGGAAGCGGTAACGTCACAAGTGGATGCGGATGCCAAGCAGACCGCAGACGAGACGAGCTCGGCGTTGACAGATCTCTCTCGTCTGCACCGCGGTCTGATCGTGTGTTGCGTGTGTCTCGCCGTGTTCAGTGTCTCCTTCAACCTGGGCACTCTCGGTCCGTTCTTCTTCAAAGCCGCTCTGGCAAAGAACCCGGGGGCTGGTGCCGGGTATCACACCGCTATTGGCGCCGTGTTCAGCTTCAGCCACCTGGCTGGACTGTTCATAGGCCCGCTGATCGTGCATGACCTTCCTAATATCGGCAGCAAGCAAGTGCTGGTGCTGGCAACGGGTACCATGGGTTCCGCTTCGCTACTCTTCTCCGCTTTGAACAGTATCTCTGATTGGAAGGTGTTCTTAGCCTATTCCTACGTCATACGGTTCATAGTGGGTGCAGCGCTGCTCGGGACCACTATACCGGCAATGACGTACCTGACCCAGATGTACCCGGGCAGCCTGGGATTTGTGAACAGCTGTATGACGACGAGCCTGTCCCTGGGTCATGCGTTCGGTACCCTGCTATCGGGAGCCCTGTACGACATCGGTGGTTTCATGCTGCCATTCATTGTTACGGGTATTGTCGGTCTCCTGGCTTCGCTCTCCGTCGCGCTAGTGGTGCTCGACATCGACAAGCTCGCGCTAGAGCAACGAAGCGGAGTTGCAGAGAAGCAAGTCCGTACGCTCGCCCTTCTCCGCTATCCCTGGACCTGGTTCTTGCTGGTGCTGACTGCGTTCGTCACGCTGGCCTACTGTGCCGTTGAGGCGTTGCTCGGACAGCGCATGCGATCGGAATTCGGCGTGAGCCCGGCGATCATTGGCACGGCCCTAGCACTTCTGTTCACGTTGAGTGTTGTGCTAGCGCCGCTGGTCGGCAAGGTGTTGGACAGAGGCTGGAACACCTATGTGATCCTGGCCGTGGCACAGTCCCTGATGGCACTTGGCTGTATCCTGGTTGGCCCTGCACCAGGCCTGCGCTTGCCCAGTTCCCTGACTCTAGTGTTCATCTCCATGCTACCTCTGGGTATAGGGCGAGTGATGGCCATCGTCGGATGTCCCGTTGCACTGGCCCAGTTCCTGCAGGAGGCAGGGGTGGGCACAGTGGGCGAGACCAGAGTGGCGCTGATCGGCCTGTACCGGACATGCCTGGCCGCCGGCTTCGTCGCCGGTCCGCTCATCATGAGTCCACTGGTGTCCGTCTTGAACTTTCCAGCAGCGTTCGGTCTTCTTGGACTGGTGTATCTTGCACTGGCATTGCTAATTGTTACGCTGAAATGGTCAGGTACTCTAGCTAGCAAGGTGAAGCTGCTGTTTGGTGCCCGAGCTTCTGTGGACAGAGAACAGTGATATGGGTACTGTGGACCCTGGAGAGAACACTCAACTTCAGCCCGACCTCCATAGATGACGTTCCATTTCCAGACTCTGTATCTGTCTGTCTGTCTGTCTCTCTGTCTGTCTGTCTGCCTGTCTGTCTGTCTGCCTTTCTGTCTGTCTGTTTGTCTTTCTTTCTTTCCCAGCCTCTCATTTTGTTCTGCGGGTGTATTCACAATATTGTACCAGGTTCGTTGTAATGACCATGTAAAAACGATCATGTTCTTATGAACCCACAGCGCAAAATTGCCTCAGGGAGGGAGGGATGGTCAGCAATATCTGCCCAGGCACAAATTCATTGTAGTCGACCGAGATTATTATTGTGACTCATCCCTCCATGCAACTCGGTCCAATAATTATATGAAACGTTTCACGCCCGTGTGAATGCGCCCCTTAGTCTTATGCGAACCGCGAACGTGTTATTTTTCATCCAAATAGATTCTACGAATTGACACTAAGTCTTGCGAACAATGAAGGTAGAGTACCGGTAGTTGTGCAGGGCAAGGAATCTTCAAGGGTGATTTTACTTCGGTACAAGCATACACATACACACACATACACTTGTACTTGTTGCTCACTGCCAAAACTAGTCACGTGGGTCTCCCCGGGAGAGGGACTCAAAAGGAATCTTGGAAAGATGACTCTACTACTAGTGGTATTGAACCGCCCAACGGCCAACACCTCCTGAAATCCCCAAAACTCTGGGTGGACTTGAAAATAATCCCACTTATGGGCTCACCTCACCTCAGTAAGTGGGTGAGGACAAGGTGCAGAAAAAGGATTGACGGCATCAGGGTATCCGTCCCGGGATCCAACTGCAGTTACCCCTGCCCCCAGTGAAGGTTGCTACTAGTGTGGGTGGCTAAATCAGAGTGGATCTGATACAAGCTTCATTAGCACCATAATTACACAAGAGTTAATCTAGCCAGAAGTAGTCCATGGTTAAAACAGTACACCTTCAAGCAGCCGAGCTCGTTGGCAACAGATCCGCCATTATCCGGCATAAGTGTACCCACCAACCGAACTAGCTGGCACACACACACACACACACACACACACACACACACACACACACACACACACACACACACACACACACACACACACATACGCATACACACACCTCATACCTGCCCATCGCGGAAGCGATGATAGCGAACAGCTATGTTAGACATAGCAACACACACACACACACACACACACACACACACACACACACACACACACACACACACACACACACACACACACACACACATACACACACACACACCTGTGACGTGAAAGCAAATGCATGTGTACTATACACACATGCACACGCACCAACACAAACTAATAGATTTCGAAGTAAAAGCAGAAACAATCACAAGCCATTAGACAATCAAACGGATGCGCACACACACACACACACACGGTGCTCATGCACAGACAAAATAAAAAACAGCAAACGTGATAATTATTACTATGCTTAGCAAGAGCAGCAGCAGCAGCAACAGCAGCAGCAACAGCAGCAGCAGCAGTAACAGCAGCAGCAACAGCAGCAACAGCAGCAGCAGCAACAGCAGCAGCAACAGCAGCAGCAACAGCAGCAGCAGCAGTAACAGCAGCAGCAGCAGCAGAAGCAACAGCAGCAGCAGCAGCAGCAGCAACAGCAACAGCAACAGCAACAGCAGCAGCAACAGCAGCAGCAGCAGCAGCAGCAACAGCAGTAACAGCAGCAGCAACAGCAGTAGGCAGCACACTTAGCTAAGAAGTCAGCATTGGGAGCAGGCTAACCCTCACATGGGACACAAATGTGAAAAGCAACAGAAACAGACACAAGAGCATTCAGATGCTAAAGAATAGCGGAATGGTACCGTAGACACTGCAGAGTGTGGAGGACAGAATACTGTATTGACTTTGTTCTAAGGTAGATAGGCACTCGGATATGTGGTGAAGTATAGATAGGCACTCGGATATGTGGTGAAGTATAGATAGGCACTGATATGTGGTGAAGTATAGAACAGCTGATTGTCCTTGTGGCAAGGTAGAAAGACACCAGGATGTGGTGGACTGCACGTCCACGAGTACGTTTTCTTGTCATCAGACGGGATTGGCCAGGATAGGATCCTGCATTGTGTTGGAGTCAAGAATCAAGCACATACACGCACACACACACAGACATACACACACACACACACACACACACACACACACACCATTGGACCATTGGACGCCCATCGCCGAAAGCGATGATAGCGATGCTACAGCAGAAGCCATAGCAGCTTGTGCTGGGATTGCACCATTCAACAACTTGCAAGGCTGAAGAATTGACCGCCACTATTCAGCCTGGTCTACACCACACAGCTATGAAGTGGCTTTTTCTGGCCAGTGAATCCCTACTTTTTGGTCTTTTTTCATTTTTTTTCCGCACACACATCACAACACATACTCCGGCATGCACTGGCTGTTGGTAACCACCCAGGAGAATGAAAGAAAAGTCAGGAGAAGTCTGAGAAAGAGAAGAAAGACGTGTGTGACCATAATCGTCGGGAATCGAACCCGCAACCCCTCGATTGGAAATCGCTGCACATACCACTGCACCATATGGGACACACACACACATGCACACACAAACACATGCACACAGACATACACACAGACACACACAAACAAACACACAGACACACACACACTACTACTATGTACAGCTACCCTATTGGGAGACAAGGACAAGAAGAAAGAAGAGAAGAGAGAGAAATCGCAAAGTCAACAAAATTCGGCATGGCGGTGCAAGTCCTGTGGCCCTGAAAACCGCCTTTTGCAATTTCTCTGCACTCTACTGATGAGCTGCTGACTATGAAGAAAACGACAATGTCTGCCGGTTGTCAGTGAAGTACTCGTCACGATAGACACAGGAACATCTGATGCCATCATGCTATTCCAAAGTCTACACGTGAAGGTTGGGAAATTGACCACCACGAATCATCCCACACCCACCACGACACACACACACACACATGCGCACGCACGCACACATGCGCACGCACACTCGCATGCACACACACTCGCGTGCACGCATGCACACACACTCTCGCATGCACACACAGTCTCGCTTGCACGCACACACGCGCACGCACACATGACTACAGGTAATCATGCTCAAGCACGTGTTCAAAGCATTCGTTACCTTTTCCGTGGAGTATTGCGGCGGATTGGAGCCTGCTGGGTCGTATGCGTACGCAGTTACAGGTCCAGCTCTGGGTCCCAGGATGCCGGCTGTTGGTGCAGTATTCACAACGGTCTATTGATACACACACACACACACACACACACACACACACACACACACACACACACACACACACACACACACACGCGCATCATAGTAAAGCAGCAAGATAAGCGTACTGAGATAGGAACGTGAACGTCACGTGGGATTCTGGGCGAGGTTGCTATGCAGAGGAGGGAGGGGAGGCTGCGCTTTGCAACAAACAGCAGCATGTACAACGGAGTGACACAAACGCAGCAGCATGTACAACACCGAATTGACAACGGCAGGAAGCTTTGCTGTGTTGCAGAGTTCCAGGCCGAAACGGGCGATCATCAAACAGGAGTGATGATCGGCCGTTTCGGAAAGGAACTCAGAGTAACCCCACACCAAAGTGTCCCACCACTGTGAACTTGTACTGAGCATAGTTCATGCTTGACATACTTCTGTTGTCCGTGACATCTACGAGGTCGGTTCTCTTTTGGGTGCATGCAATTAAGGGGCGTACGCCGCTCGCCTCCAGGAGTGGTTCCCATGCCAACTGATGAGCCAACATTCCACACAATTGAAGTGCTGTTTTTCGTATCCCATGGAGTTTCTGCATATTCTCCTCAGACTGGGTGAAATTAACATCCACAAGCTGCTGGACGATGTCATTGCTACGCACTTCTGATTTTACGTTTTATGGATGTTTTGTTCAGCATGACGATTGCATGCAGTTTTGAAAGCTGCCTAAGTTTCGAATCATCTGGAGCAAACATCACACAGGGCAAGCAGAAGCCACCATTGCACGCCGGTCAAATGACTACCCAGGGTAACTCCTCTAATAACAAGGATAGTTGAAAGTGGCGCTGTTTGCCATCCGTCTGGACACGCACAGGAAATGAAATCCTTCGCCTTTGGTGGCGCACAATGATTATCGATGACGGAAATCTTTTCTGTGTCCGGCAAATTTCGGGGGATTGGATTCCACTGTGGACGTCGACGTACAGAATATCCCTTCCAACACACTCCCATGTCACTGAAGTAAGTTTTGGATGATCCAGCAGCTTCCAACAACGGTCGCTCTACAGCTTCGCCGACAATTTCTTCCGCAGCGCTGCTCGTTGCATGCAGACTTCGCTTGCAAGTCAGGTGCGTCTGCATTCTTTTTCTCATCTATCGCTTGACCTTCGCCACTAGCACTGGCTACATGCTTTGCCTGCTGCTCAAAATAGCTCTGAATAGAGCTCTGGCCCTCTGGATGTCAACGCTTCATTTTTCTTTTCCACAAAGCGAAAGCATCGTCCAAAACACGACCAACTTTGTCAAAACAAACTGCAAAGGAAAATTTGACTCTGAGATCGAGGAATCCGGCGATGTACCTACAATTTATAGAGACTTTGTTGAACCCAGTTCAGTACGCTGTTACCACTTTCACACCTGGGCTACAGTCACCGTCCTCGGACCGTCAGGCGGACTCCATGGATCCAGGCATGCACTGCATGCACTGCGAGCGCTGGGCCTGCATCAAAAACTTCTCCGTACCCATATCGAAGTTTTTTTACTGGTTCCCGGGCATCCCGGGAACCACCCTATGTACGCCCCTGTGCATGTGTCCGTGCAGTCGGTGTGCGGACTGCGCAGGTTGCTACACAGTGGGCATGCGTGTATTGTAGGCATCCTTGTTTCCTCTTCCGATGCCTTTGCATACAAGCATGCGCAAGAAAATGTTATTCTCTTTGGTCTCAACTTCTTTGTTGTCCGGTTGGCCAAAGTAGCCGTCGTCTAGGGCCCGACGTAAAAACCCTAAACCTTCTTCCGGAGACTCTCCTTGGAGCAGGATAACAGTCATGATCTGTCCTCTTTGTCTGGTGTACATGGGACGTAGTACGTGTGAGAGTAATCAGAAGGGCATATCGTCCGGGCGGATAAATACCCCCGACGACAGTTGGCGCCCAACTAGTGGTATTGTTGTCCACGACCCTGAGATCGTTTTCGTTTCCGCCAGTGCTTCACATCTTGTCTCCGCAACGCGTCCTCGCCGTGGCTCCGCTTTCCTGCGTCTGCTCAACCCTGTTCTCGGAGCTCCTACTCAGGTGAGCATGCTTTGTCTGCACTGCGTCATGTTTCGTTCCTTGTCCATACTAGTATTCGATTTGGGATTTTCAACTTGTTTCGCGAAGGGTCTCGGCGTAAGTCCGTGGAACCGACGTCCTTGTTCCCTAGTGTACTCTCGATTGCGCCTTGCTCCTGTTTGTACATGATTGTACTTTGTAGCGCACGTCGTTGTGCGTGTCACTGTTCGCGTGCTTGTGTGCCGCTCCGGGCATGCTCGGAGGCTAGTGTGGTAGTGTCTTGGTTTTTGTCAGTTCTAGATTCTGGACGGCCTTCATCGCGTCTTTCGTTCAAGTATGCATTTCCAGTATTGGGTATGATTGTGTAGCTGTTGTGTTGTGTCAGTGCCTGCGGTTGCATGTGTATGATGAGTTTAGAGAGAATTTAACGCTTACCACAGATGCCTGCGAATGGTCTTCTGGCGCGACAAAGATAGAGGTCGAACAGCAGCAGAGAGCACCGCAGAACAGGGATGATATCACAATGTTAATGATCACGAGCACACTGCATATGGCTGCCACAGCCAGGTAAATGTTGGGTAGGGTCTCTGTAGCAGAGCAAAACCGAGACAAGGGAAGGGAGACAGGGTGAGGGAGAGAGAGGGAGAGAGGGGGGGGGGAGGGCCAGAGAGAGAGCGGGAGAGGCAGGGAGAGTGAGAGAGAAGAGGGGGGGGGAGGAGAGAGGGAGGGGGGAGAGGTAGGGAGGTAGGGAGAGAGAGAGGGGTTCGGGGGAGAGGCAGAGAGAGGGAGGGGAGAGAGAGAGAGAGAAAGAGAGAGAGAGAGAGAGAGAGAGAGAGAGAGAGAGAGAGAGAGAGAGAGAGAGAGAGAGAGAGAGAGAGAGAGAGAGAGAGAGAGAGAGAGAGAGAGAGAGAGAGAGAGAGAGAGAGAGAGCGAGATGGAGACGGATAGAGAGATAGATGGAGATGGTAGAAGGGGAGGGGAGAGGGAGGGAGAAAAGGAGGGACGTAGAGAGGGACAGAGAGAATGTGAAAGAGATTGAGAGAGGGGGGGGGGGGTATAGGGACACAGAGTGACAGAAAGTATATTTGCCGGCCCCACCTTGCTTTAGCCGGGTTCCTCACACCCTAATGTAGCCAAATTTCGTAACCAATTTGGTCTCTAGCTGACTCAGAGTGGATCCGATATAAGCAACAACAAATTCTTACCCAGCGGTTTATCTAGCTGGATATAGTCAAAACACAGAGAGGTTCCAAGCTGTCCAATACAGTGCTCAATACCGAAAGGCAAAGCAAGTTCAAACAATAGTAAGAGAATGAAAAAAGTGTTTTTACTCAGAGTTTCACGCACTAAGCGATCATCAGAAAACAGTAATGGGTAACTACCGTAATTCCGCGCATATAAGCCCACGGGCCTATATCCGGATACAAGCCCACCTCTGTTTATAAGCCCATGGGCCTATAAACAGACACAAATGCAACTCGCGTGTCAACAAGAATTTTTCACAACGTGGACTCTTCCTACCATGGTACAGCAGGTGAGTGCAGTTTACCAGTAGAGTATGGTACAGCAGGTCAGTGCAGTTTACCAGTAGAGTATGGTACAGCAGGTCAGTGCAGTTTACCAGTAGAGTATGGTACAGCAGGTCAGTGCAGTTTACCAGTAGAGTATGGTACAGCAGGTCAGTGCAGTTTACCAGTAGAGTATGGTACAGCAGGTCAGTGCAGTTTACCAGTAGAGTATGGTACAGCAGGTCAGTGCAGTTTACCAGTAGAGTATGGTACAGCAGGTCAGTGCAGTTTACCAGTAGAGTATGGTACAGCAGGTCAGTGCAGTTTACCAGTAGAGTATGGTACAGCAGGTCAGTGCAGTTTACCAGTAGAGTATGGTAGACCCACTATGAGTACGGACTTGTGCTTTTTTCGTGAAACTTCAAAATTCGAATATTGGCCCATGGGCTAAAAAACGAACATGTTTTACTGGATATTTTACCCCAAACTGCATTATTTCACATATAAGCCCATGGGCTTATATGCGCGGAACTACGGTATGGATACTGGTTTATATAAGTAGGACTCAGTGAGCAGTCACGTCTCGATGACCGATCACGATCCCCGTGACCAATCAAACAGTCACAGATCCCCGAAGAGCAGTCATAAAGTCACACACCAGTTTGAATCCCGATGACCAGTCACAAACGGCCGCGACTTTCTCTGTGAACGGTCACAGGGTCCACGTCAAATATTACGACTCAACTGTAGGCATTCACGCGATCAGCATACTTTTTTCCTTCACAGGTTTCAGTAGTGAGCAAGAAAGATTTCGATCAACTCTCGATCTACGCGTAGTTTACTTGTAGCTCGAGTCTGGTGTGTGTGGGCTCCTCTCCAAAACGAAGGGTGGTCGAAAATCTTGCAGGCTTCAGATAGAATCTCTTTTGAGAGGACGTTCTGGCTAGTAGATTGTGCTATTCATCATATTTGAAGAACAAACTTCGTCGTTCAGAAAAGCTATTTCGGAATATTTTCAGTCAAGTAATTATTATTTTTTGCATGCCGATCTTGCTAGAACGGAGACTGATTTCAACTGATCCAGCATACAAGCAGCACTCGCTTTGTGTTTTTGGAGAGGATGGGTGACAAGATTACGGAGTCAGAAGTGGACATCGTCGACGATGCAGAGACGAAAATATAATGAAGATGGAAAAGAAAATATGTTCATCTCCAAGAAGGTACTGAGTACATCAAGCACCTTCGTGTGTGTAGTAGCTCTGTCTTTCTTGTGGAAGATTCCACAGAAAAACAATGTCCAGCTTGTTGAAACTGAAACTGCCTCTCAGTTGAAGTCGTTCAGGGAAGACATCTATTCAAGACATCATTGATCCATTCTCAAGAACCATCGTGAGAAATTAAATCAAGTCATGTTAGCGATAAGAATGGCGAACTAGACTAGAGAAGTGTGAGTGTCTTTTTTTTGACTGCAGGAAACTGTATTTCAATATTGTGGCTCATCAACGTAGTGCTTACGCAGTTTACTGCTTCGAACACATCTTCATTCCTACTCCCAAAATAACTCTGTAAAATTTATTGCTGTAACATTATGGTACATGTACATGGTCTTTCTCGTTGTGCTGCTATAACGTGTATTATAAGTACATGCATACGAGTACTGTGTACCGTTTACTGTCTCCGTGTCAGTGTTTTTGTGCGATCCTCCACACCTTCATTAATTTTGTCCATTACGTATTTTCCTTCTACTTATTAACTTTATAGAAATATTCACTCACTACAACTTCTTGTGATTGCTGGTGCGAATGTACCTTGCGATGCCTGCTTGTTATTGAGAGTGCACCAGACATGTATCGATATGTATGTCTGACGAGATGTTCTTGAACTGGCATATCAGTATCACCAAGAGTACGGCCCTTCCGTCTACGCATCTCTTCTTGGCTTGTGGATTGTTTGAAAAGAGATAAAATAATGATACAGAAATACTTGTGTCCGAGTGTCGTCATGAAAACAAGTTCTACCTCCGTAACTTTGTCCGCAAGGTCACGTGAATCTAGCTGGTAGTCCCGCTGCCAATTTGTGTGTGTGTTTGTGTGAGTGTGTGTGTGTGTGTGTGTGTGTGTGAGAGAGAGTAAGTGTGCGCGTGCATGTGTGAGTGTGTGTGTTTGTGTGCATGTGTGAGAAAGAGAGTGCGTGTGTGTGTGAGAGAGAATGTGTGTGTGTGTGTGTGTGAGAGGTTTAGAGAATGAGTGTGTGTGTGTGGATGTGTGTGGATGTGTGTGTGTGTGTGTGTGCGTGTATGTGAGAAAAGGGACAGAGTGTGGGTGTGTAATGGTGTGAGCATGTGTGGATTTGGCATTTAAGTCCCCAGCTCTATTCTATATCATTCACGCTGAAACTGCTGCTGCATAGCCCCAAGTCTGAAGACTTGGCAACTTCACGCCTGCACCTGACTCTTGCGCTATGATACACGTCGCCTATGATACCCCTCAGAATTTCCCACCTTACTCCCCCTTATGTTCAGGCTGCCCGTTTTGGAGCCATCAGTTGCCTGACGATCGTAGTAATACGTGAAACTCAGAGTTGCGACAAAGCTTCCAATCTCTTGTAATACAGAAATACCTGTATTCTGCCTGTGACTACTCATAGAGAAAGAGTGGTCGCAACTGTACATTCCGCATATAACTGTTCTCTTGGAATTATAGTGGTCACAACTGTATTCGAAATATTCTGTGACCGCTCAAGGGGAATTATAGTTTCCACAACAAATCCTGCAGTACGAAGCACTCCGCGAGCAGTCACGAACTGTGTGCTTTACACATGTACATGTATGGTGATTTGTGACTGGTCATGGGGCATTGTGACTGGTAAACTAATTTGTGACTGGTCATGGGGAGTTTGTGACTGTTTGACTGGTCACGGGGAACCGTGATTGGTCATGGGGCCTTGACTGGTCACTGAGTCCTACATATACCCACAAAGCAAAAGTGCACGTGACAGTATTTGTGAAAGATTGCATCACGGCATGACTTTGAGAGGTGTAAATGGCAGCAGTGGTGAAAGACACTAGAGAGGTTTCACACTGCGTGCAGCGTGACAAGGCCGCGAGAGCGAGGCTGTTCACGTGCGTGACGCACGTGAAATGATACGGAAGGTTGATAGCACGGACACAGACACACACGTACAAGTACGAACGCACACCCGCACACACACACACACACACACACACACACAAAGACACACACACACACATACACACAAATTGACAAGCAAACACATAGGCAGCCATTCCTCGCAAGCAGTCTACACTCACGCCTGGCAAAGTCACAGTCCGTATTCTCAAATCGAATTTGTGTTCGCGGACAAGTGCAGGTGTTGTCAAAGGACAAACACGTATCGTCAGCATCTGCAGAAACAGCACGCAAGACAATATCATAAACAAGAGAATTTTGACTGGGGTGTTTGCTTCGCACTTTCCTCAAGTACCGTATTTTCCGGAATAGAAGTCCCACATTTTACACCAAACTTCAAGGCCAAAAATAGAAGGAGAAGAAACTTACAATCAAGTGTGACATCCTTCTTATGTAAAAAAATACATTGGTGAATGGTTGAAACTTGAAAAATGGGGGACTTATAATCGAGTGCAACATACAGCCAAAGAACACATAAGTGGACACACGTCGCGAAAACCTGACGTGTGGCAAGGTCTGCCAGCCGCCAGGAATGTTGATGCGACCGGGGTTCCTTTTAGGGCCGCCATAGACTGACGGACAGGCACACGGGGTACATGGATGCGGCTGATGGGGTTTCTCGGCACTTGTGTCAGTGATTCTGAGACTTATCCCCTCACCCCCACCGTTAGGCGCTGCATCTACCGCTACAGTAAGATCGGGCGCCGAAGAACGCAGGGGCTCGAGCGCAGCCTAAGAAAGTTCTTAAATTTTTGATTCTAGCCAGACCGTTCTTATTCACACGCGCGCGGCGAGTCGAGTGACGTCATGACGTTTGTCATGTACATGTACATGTACATGTAGTGCAATGTAGTACTTCTAAACTAGTGGGTGTCGTAAATGGGAATGACTGTACATGTAGCAGTTACTGTTTGCACGTGTACATGACATGTACTCACCTCCCATACATGTACAATGTAGATCTACGTACAATGTAGATCTAGTGTTCTTAAATCTGATAATTCTAGCCTGGACTGTTCTTAAATTTTGCCGGTTTTCCAGCCTGGGTGTTCTTCGGCGCCCGGTCTTACTGTAGGGTTTACCGGGTGTTAGCGGCCGCCGAGAGTTCCCTTTGGGAACGGACACGATAATTTACTTTTTTACTTTCATAGACTGCCGGGACATACAGCGGTTCAATCAGAAGGCATGGGACCTCGGTTGCAATTCACATTTTTCTTCCTTTTGTGGACATATAAGAGGACACATGGGTACGAGCAATGAGTACTGTAATTTCACAAATTTTCGGTGTATTTTTATTTTCGGTGCATCTGTTTCATACCTAAAGTTTCAATACACCGAACAAACACTAACACACATACTTAATCCAATAGGGAACTGCTTCTCTGTACCTAAAATTTCTGTTCACCAAACCTGGCCTTTTGCCCTCATTCCGAAAATATTGAGCACCTAAAATTTCTGAAATTAGAGTAACTGTCAGCAATCAGCAAGTGTGATAACTGGTCACAACCTCACATACTAGTGAGGCATTCAAGTTGATTCAACCTGACAGTTAACTCTTATCTACAGCAGTGCGCAAACCAACAGCCTTCCAACAGCCTTCCAGATTGGAAGGTTCAAGTTCATGGTGGGGCCGAAGAGGGGAAACCTCACATACTAGTGAGACATTCAAGTTGATTCAACAACCTGACAGCTAACTCTCTAATCACATATCTACAGCAGTGCGCAAACCAACAGCCTTCCACATTGGAAGGCTGCTGGTTCATGGTGGGGTCGAAGAGGGGAAGGTGAGCGCAACGAACGTGTGCAAAGCTAAGCCCCATGGCAACAACAAATGTCGACTGTTGGGGGTCGTCGCAACAGTTTTTCGTCGTCCCTGACGCGAACATTGTTCATTACGTGCTCGGACCCCCCCCCCCCCCCCCCCCGAGTAAAGTTCTGAAATCATACTCTGTATTTTGAGATGTACGACACATCTTTCCCGATATTGTGATCACACACTCGCATGCGTACACGGCATTGCTCTAACTTAAGCCTAGTTCACATTCGGCGGGGCGCGACAGGACGCGACGTCAGGGTCGACGGGCAGCGACGGGACGGTCTGACGGCGTCCAATGCGAACACCAGGAACGGGAGCGCAACCGTACTACCGTACAGATCGGGAAGCCACGGGAAGAGTTGGATCGATCCAACTTTTCATACCGTAGACGGGCGTAGACAGGGACGCAAGCGTACAAAACGACTGCAATTCGAGTGTGAACAGGAGACGGCGTCGTGCGCCGACTACTCCCGATTCGTACTTGGAAATTCTTAGCATTTCGAACACTGCGCTTCCCATGATAACTCACAGAATGGCTAGCATGACGTGAGTTGAATTTTAACAACATCAGATCTCATGTCACTTATTGTATTTTGGGATAGTTCAGAAGCGTGACAGACGAACTATTCTATCATTTCCTAGGGCTATTATTTGAATGCCACAACTTTCAGAGCTAATTTTTTGGTCTTCATGAAAAACTGGTATTGTGAACTTGATTCCGCTTCTTTGTAGGAGAAATAATTGAAAAGAAGTCCCGAAAAACGAGAAATTAGGTCCGAAAGTCACCCCATCACGGACCGTGCCTTATGACTCGCGCCGTTCGACGTTGAACGTCGCAACGACTGCTGCATGTCGTGTCGTACGAATCGTACAGGATTTTACAGCTCACCCCAGCCCTCCCGACAAGCCCTTACGTCCCGTACCGTCGGCGTTGCGTCGAATGTGAACTAGGCTTAAGTAACAGAATAATTCCGGGGCCGGAGCACGCGCGCGTTACACGCAAAGTGGACTGACTGTACGCTGGCCAGATCTTGATTCTGGACGACTGTGCTGGGCAGGGGTGTTGCAGCCGGTCCGGGCTTTGGCCGAGCCACTTTTTCGTCCGACCACGCAAAAAAGTGCCCAGAATGCAGGATTTTGCACCCTAATTCCAAAATTTTCCCGGGGACACACCGATCCCCCACCCCCAACCTCTCCTGCCGCTCCACCTCCAACAGCGGTGCTACGCGCCTGCAGGGGCATGCGCCAATAGACTCAGTATCAGTGCAAATGCACACAAGCTACAGGTTCGCCCCTGTTGCGAATAGACAAAGTCTTGTCGATCACGGTATGTGCTCCTTACAGATCCAGACGGTGTCCACCAAAGTGACGGCAGCAAATACGCACGCGCCGCTAGCCATCCCAGCCAGCACTACAAACACCACGGCCAGGAACCAGCCCTGTGGGGACAGACAGATAGACAGACAGACGCCATCACAAGCAACACACAGCCAACACCCGGAAGTCGACCGTCGCGAGGGCGGAAAGTGGGACGAGTCTAAAGTTTATTAATTTACAAAATATTTCCTGTTTCAATTTGTGTGTGTGTGTGGGGGGGGGGGGGGCTGAAGGTATAATGCAGGTATGCGATCTGGGGGGCGGGGGGCCGAAGATAATGCGGGTATGCGATCTGGGGGGGGGGGGGGGGAGAGCATTTTGGCATCATGGGGTGGGTGGGGGCTGATGAATGGCATCGTGCGGTTGATGTGGTCTCTTACCGAACAGAATGCTGGCGAACAGCATTCCCGCTTGATGGTACGGCCGGCTTTTGCTGCCTGACACCCGTATACCAGGGCGCACACTGCTGCTGCCCCCTCCTGTTATTGTGTGTGTGCGCGTGTGCATGCGTGTAAATCCAGCACAGCAAGACATGCAAGAATTCATCAGAAACACAAAATCCAACACTAGTCTCATCACACCACCACGAAACCCAGAGGAAAACAGCACGAAACCAAGAGGAAAACAGCTCGAAACCATTTCGCTATGTCTCCACTGTCCACCAGCACGATTTAAGAATGCAATCATTAAACTGCATCACACCGCGCCCACCATTCAGCCCGCTCAATCGTGAGGTCATATATTAATAACCCTCTATTACCGCCATTCGCCAAAAATAATTTCTATCAGGCGCGTAGCTCATATGCAGTCAGCGTAGTCCTGTCACCACACCTGCAAATGGCAGTCGTAGGTACAGTAAATACTGCATATAACGTGCCTCTTTGATTTTCGATAATTTATCACTGTATCCGGTGCATCGCTATAGCCGATTTGCATGTATGACTGACACATGGCACATGACTGCGCATGGAATGATGCGTACATGCTGGAAAAAGCATGCTGACGGTACATGGATGCTCCGTAGACTGTGGAGCATGCAGTACAGTGCACACTAGCGCAGCAACTGCTTTGCTACATGTGCCTGGTTACAGCATACAGGGACACCAGAGACATTTCTCTCAGCCACGTCTGCTGCCAGATGCACCCAGGCAACACTGGATCAGTTTTGGAAGAAGTGTACTGGAAGAACATTTGTTTTGTCATCATCACTCCTGATCACTACATGCGATATTTTCCTGTACATTTGATATGGTTTGCTTCCTGAAGCCCATCACAATAAGCGATACCGGTATATTGGTATAGCCGATAATAGTGTATAATATATAGTGATATTTTAGCTGTATTTTTTTCTGATTTGAGATTTGATTTTGATTTTGACGAGTTCTATCATTATAGCCGGTATAGCATTACACCCGGTCATTTTGTAAACGATACTCACTGAACTACATACAGTCAACTTCGCTAATACCGACTGCGGATATAACGACAATTCACGAATAACGACAGAGTTTCCATGTCCATCACAAAGTCCCATCCCACTGTGACACATATCATGAGACTTCGGGTATACTGACACTTCGCGAATAAGGACACCTTTCTGATGCCCCGCCGAGTGTCGTTATACACAAAGTTGACTGTAGTCAAAAACGGGCAAAGCGGCAGAGGTTGCCGGTGGTACATAGTCACCACACCACAGATGTGCTCTGGAACAAAGCCACCACACCAAAGATGTGAGAGGTACGCCCCTGTATGTGATCTGATCAGGACCACTTATGAAACAAGCAAGCATGCCCGCATGCTTCCTTGGAGCGAAAATCATGCGAAGCGAAAAGCTAACTCCGCACGAACATTCGCAGACATCTTCGCAAGCCAATACACGAAAATGCACGCAACGTTTCGCTTTGCAAAACGTCTAAGTTAATTTATGAGTGTACTGTACTCTTCTTTTCTTGTGAAGGCTAGCATGACTTGGCTCTGGGGGGGGGGGTGATAAAGGCCCTGCTGGACACGGATAAAGCCCCCCCCCCCTGCGAGTCCCCTTCATGGACAAAGACTTTTTAGTGTTCCAAGACAGTAGTGACTAGTGTCATGTATGACTGCACAGTAGTAGTGACTAGTGTCATGTAGGACTGTACTACACTAGTAGTGATCAGATCTAAAAAGTTTCCTTCCCAGGGGCGTGCTTGGCGAGGGGCACAGGGAGCAAGTGCACCCCCCCCCCGAAATATTTCGACCGGGGTTTTGAAAAGTCACCAATGTATTGGCTATTGCGGAAAGCCCGACCTCGCGGGAGCACATCCACAGATGAGGTGCTGTTCTTTCGACGCTCTCCTCGCCGAATCCTGTCCAGATACGTCAACTGGTGTGACAATTGTTCTTAGCTATATCCGTGCAATGTGTGTTTGCATCGGCCTGCCTGGCACAGTGCCGTCGACGGATCGGTTTGTAAAACATTTGTAAAGTTTTCATCCTAATATTTTGAAAAAATTGATAATTATGATGCTGTACTGTGTTCATTCATGATGACAGACAATCTTTGTAACAGTAATAATGACCGTCACACGTACAAATATCTGATGATGTCACCGGTACAACATTTTGAAAATTGTGGTGCACCCCCCTGAAAGGGGAGCCGAGCACGCCCCTGCTTCCCTTTTCAGGGACATTGGCTAGGGACCATGACATGACACTTACCAGCACTCCTAACCAGATGCCCGGAACGAAGAGACGTTCCTTCCACAGAACCTCGCTCTTGTAGCCGAGCTGGTACACCGCTATTCCTTTGCCGACTGGAATGACGTTCAGGACGAACGCGATGAAGCTGAGAACGATGGACACGATGGCAAAGCCAGCTAGGGTGCCACTCGCGCAGCCTGACGGCCTCAGCCGCGTATGCGGCAATACGGTGTCCGTATGTGTCGTCTCAGTCGTGGTGACTCCCGCGCTGCCGTAGTTGACCGGAGGATTCATGTGAGAGTCTCGAGCATCCTGTTGTAAAGGTTGGTAGGACATGGCTGCCAGAGATTTCAGAGAGAACGTAGATCTACTGCAGTATATACACAGAAATCTACTGCAGTATATACACAGAAATCTACTGCAGTAATAGTATGATTGTAGCAGTATGTTCTCCGTGAGTAAAACTAAAATATTCTGGCAAGCTGCTGTCTTGAAATCCAAAATAATTGCACGCACGCACACCGCACAGAGGAAAAGCAGAAGGACATTATGTAGCAAGATGCAGTTCTGGCTACACATGCACTAGCCGTTACTTGGCCAGGCTCGGGAGTCGGGACCGTGACCCGTTCACGATGCGCACTGTCTGTACTACATGGTACTACGCGCACGCCTACAGGCTACACGGCATAGATCTACTACGGTCAGTCAGACTGTCAGTACAAAATGGGAAGTCGGGAGACTTGTGTGAAACCGGTGCACTTGACTTTTGAACGCGGGCGCGGCGCGGGCCGGGGGATGTGATGCGTCGACGTGTGATGAAGCTTTTTGGATCATGGAGGAAATGAAAAGTACACAGTCGACAGCTAGCATACACATAATGACACTTACATTGTAGTCTCTATCTACCTGTGCTGTGCCTGTGTCTGTGATCTACCTGGCCTGGCCACGGCTAGCTGTCAGTTTTTGTAGTCACGTCCTTCAAGGAAGAAAGGAGACGCATGATCCTTGCTGATTTGAGTCTCTCAGCGTGTGCTCATACTCCCTACGCAGCTAGCTCAACATCAGGTGCATGGTTATTCCTGTATCTCTCTGCCAAGCTGTACAGGGCGATAAGTTGTGCCAGGCTGTGTAGATACGCGCTGAGCTGAGAGCGCTTGCATTCACAACTTCAAAGTTCAAACAGCGATCGAAAGCGCTTGGTTGGAGTACCGGTTGAGTGGGTAGATAGAGTAGCTCATGTCGCAGAAGTGAATATAATAAATATTATAATTATAATATTATTATTTCCTGGTGTTCATGTGGCCATGCAAGGACCACTAGTCACTAGCACTTGCAGCTGAGGACCAGTTATTTCGGCCTAGTGACTGGCGTTGACACCCGTACCAAGGCAACTCAGCAATCATCCGGGCTGTGATTACCTGCCAAAAATACGAGGCCCAGTTGTTCACATAGACAACATGGGATGATGATTTTTCAACATGCTATGTAATGTACTACTTCTGGCTATTTTGAATCCAGAGACGATCGTTGATCATCTGCGTATCAGTTGTGGTTGTGGCTTTGGATGCGGATATGAAGGGTTTATGCTCACTCTGCGTTCGTTATGCACCCGGACCAGTCCTGTTGCCATCTCTGCTGTAAACATGGTATTCCACTATCTCTAGGGAGAAAACCCAGTCGTTCTGGTATAAAACTATTCCTGTGATAGCTGTGCTGGTACATGTTCAGCACAAGAACCAGTACGCTGCACTCAACTGTAGGTGATTAGGGCTAGGGGTTGTCGCAAACGTTTTTTTGTCGTCCCTGAAACGAAGATCGTTCTTTTTGTACCCAGACCCCTTCCCTCCTCTGAAACGAACACAGCTTGCTATGCTGGACGACGAAAATCGCATGCATGTACCGGTACATGTACATGACATAATTACATGTACCATGATTACATGTATGTACAGTGTCGATCGACTTGCGATTTTGCTATGCTGGACGACGAAAATCGCATGCATGTACCGGTACATGTACATGACATAATAGACCCTTTGCACAATAAGCGAGAGGGGTCGAGACGGGGCATGCCGTGCACGCGCTGCACACTTGGCATGCAACCAGCATGCATGGTTTGCTGCAGGACGTGATCAAGTTTCCTGTGACAGGCTGTGTTTTCACGGTCCCGACGCGATGTTCATGTATGTACTTCCCAGCCTTTTTTCTTTTGAATTTTTTTTAGTTTTGAAGGAAGAAATTTCGAAATGCTTTCCAAGGACGACTGCTGGGTTCTTGTTTGCACCAACCGTCATCCCTAACGTTAGTCTAAGGAACCCACTTGTCTTTCCATGCGTTCCCTGGTGATGCTGGCATTCCACACTCTGGAATCCTGGCGATCTGGCGAGAAGAGGGCCGCAGTGCATGCGATATCGTTCACAGTGTTGTGCTCGGAACACATTGTCCATGACGACTTTCATCCTTGCTTTTGCTAAGATAATGAACGCCCTGCCAAGAGACTCTGGAGCTTGAGAAAAAGGCATGACGCATCCCTGTCTTCGCTATTTGAAGATCGACTGCTTGCTGGCGCTGCTCGAGCTGCTGATGTTGAAGTGGAGAGAGACGCAGCCTCATCGCTCAGGTGTGCGGAGAAAGTCATCTGAGTTCGAGCTGTGGCTGCGTGCACGATATGACCGACTTTCACATTATGCACATAGCCACCAAAGTAAAACTCATGGACACTATCCACGGGCTTGTTCACTAGTACTACTCCATCAGCTCCCTCTTCACTGTCGTCGGCGACTCGCCCCTGCGTTGGAGACGAGCACGCATGGTGTGGCACTCACTCTGGGAAACAGAGGTTCATCACTCATCCACTGGGACGCATGAAATGTTGGGCATGATGAAGGTACACTCGAGGAAGTGGTGCCCTTCTTAGTTCTAGGAGCATCAGGGTTCTGCATAGAGAAGTGTTCTCTACATCGACAGAGGAGAGAAGGTAGAGAAACGAAAAATATTTCAATCTACAGTAATCCGAAATATCCACTGAATGCGGAAAACTTACCGCTCCAACGACTCATTCTTTTTCCAGACAGATACGCACCCTCATTCAGCAGAAAACTGTTCAGTTCCTTCACAGACCATTCTTCATTTGACAGTTCGTCCACGGGTTCCACAGCCATCGATGGCAAACCACTCGACACTCTCCCCTCCATCTCCAAAATGGAAAAATACAGTGTTCCACCATGCTCAACAACTGATACTCTGCACAAAAATCGAAGAGGATGCCCCGTCTCGGATCACGTGACCGTTATTGTGCAAAGGGTCTATTACCATGATTACATGTATGTACAGTGTCGATCGACTTGCGATTTTGGCTCGCACCCCCCCCCCCCACGAATGATGTTCGTTTCAGGGACGACAAAAACTTTTGCGATGACCCCTTATGTTATCTTGAGCTTGATGGTCCATGAATTTAAAGGGGAAGTTAAGGCAAAAATTAAAATTTCACCAGTTGTAGTCTTCGGGGTGCTGAGTCGAATGGTCTTGGTCCGAGGAAGCTGAGACGCTCCCTTCCTACTTGAATCCCAATCGAACTCGCGCACTTCCACCGAAACTGGGTGACTGCGCCCTACGAGATGGGGATTTGTATGCAAAATGTCACTAAAAGCGCCATTTCGTTCTTATAAAAGCACGGATGACCGCGATTGGCCCATATGTTGTAGTCTTTGGGACGCTGAGTCGACTGGTTTTGGTCCGAAAAGGCTGCGATGCAGCGTTCCTCCTTTATTCCCAATCGAACATGGTTGAAGAAGCGGTCACGTGGTCCTGGGTGCCCAAATCACCTGGTCACCACGCCAGCAGGTGACAACTTTCACACCAAGGTTCAACTCGGGTTCAACTCGAGTGACAGGACTGCACCCAAAAAAGGTCAAACAGGCTAGTAAGTTGTACCCTGCAGGCACGGTGACCAGGTGACTGGTGTACGCAGGAGCACGTGACCGCTTCTTCAACCATGTTCGATTGGGAATAAAGGAGGAACGCCGCATCGCAGCCTTTTCGGACCAAAACCAGTCGACTCAGCGTCCCAAAGACTACAACATATGGGCCAATCGCGGTCATCCGTGCTTTTATAAGAACGAAATGGCGCTTTTAGTGACATTTTGCATACAAATCCCCATCTCGTAGGGCGCAGTCACCCAGTTTCGGTGGAAGTGCGCGAGTTCGATTGGGATTCAAGTAGGAAGGGAGCGTCTCAGCTTCCTCGGACCAAGACCATTCGACTCAGCACCCCGAAGACTACAACTGGTGAAATTTTAATTTTTGCCTTAACTTCCCCTTTAATGCTAAATGGCCTGTGGAGAATCCATACAAAGTACAATGAAGTCAACTGATCATTATGTGTGTGGGACTCAGCAGGCAACCAAACTAGAACAAAAAATTAAAGGGGCACTCCGGCTTCATTTTCGACGCCGAGTTTTCGATGCCAAGACGAAGGTAGGTGAAAGAGAAGACCCCTCGAACAAGAACGAGTCTCCAGAAGCGATCGAGTCGAGCAGGAAGACGACTTTTGAATTTCGGCCGAGCGAGCGCTGATGACGTAATGAGGGATTAACTTGCCAGTGGAAATGCATCTGCGCACATACATTTCACACACTTTTGGCCAATTTCCAATCGAAGAAGAGGTTGTTTGCTATGTTTTCCCAACGCCGTGAGCGATCCCGTCTTCTATACCCTTCCAGGTACCCTGAAGGTCCTCCAGAGGAGAATTTATCTCCATCAAAGCGTTGTTGATCCGCTAAATTGGTCTCGAGACATATTCACCCCGTGCAGTGCTGATAAATGTAGAATGTTGAATCTGTGATAATTGTCGACGATGGAGAGAGAGGCTGATAGCCACTGTCGCAGGGAGAGTGAAGCTGCTGGAAGTAACAACGGGGAGCCCGTTTGTATCACCTGAACAACCAGACTTCAAAGCAGCTTGACCAAATCGGAGGGTGCCTCGTTGCTTATCGTGAATATTACACCGACATGAATTACTACAAGTATACTGGTGAGTTTTTATCTTGTTTTGTTCGTATGCTAGTACCCTGGCCTGGAGTTCTCGTTAGCAAATTCCTATTCCCTGGCGTTTTCTAAACATTCCGTGTAGGACTGAATACGTGATCAAGTATTCCGATTTGGGTAGATGTGGAATTTGGACATGTATTTTATAAAAAAATTCCTAATAGAGCGTTTGCAGAGAAATGGTTGCCCAAATACAACAAAATTTATTCTGCAGTTCTACAACTAACTTGTACTGAAATCCAGTCAAAGTAAAAATGATTCTTCATGACTGTTGGGGTCAATAAAATCTGATCCAGGCATAACGAATGTTGACGCCTGCCACCCCGGGAACGAATGCCCATTTGGTGGGGGATACCAAAGTACTCGAAAGTAGTGCGTGTTTCAATGTGGCATGGAAGTTTTATATGATCTCTGGTCAATGCAACATATGATAGCCATCATGAATTGCAGGACTCGAACGCAACTCCGA